GGCTGAGTGACCCTCAAGCCCGGTTGAGTGGTTTCAAGGTCCCAAAACACAGGACTTGGTCTCTGTTCTTGAGGCCCTCAGATATACATTTGGTCTCTGACTTAAGCCCTGAAAAAGCACAGGGCTTAGTCACTCTTCCTGAGCACCAAATCCAGCCATATGACCCCGGTTTCAGTGTCCAAAATGCAGGATTTAGTCTCTGGTTTTAAGTGCTGAACCTGAATTTTGAGACCCCTAAATACAGCCTTTGGTCTGTCTTTGGGAGCCCAAAAATGGATCAAGTAGGTCTGGTTCTGAGCCCCTGAAACACAGCAGTGATTTGGGTCTGGGAAAGCCCAAAATTGCCTGATTAGGTCTCAATTCTGAGGCCCCCAAACCCAGCACTACATCCTGTTCTTAGCCCCTCAAACACAGTGCCTGTTTTACAAATCATTCTTTTTGTATAAATATTCCTCTAACTGCTAAAGCAGGAGGGAAGATCTAACAGGATTTCCTTTAACATATTTTTTTGACTTAAAAATCTACAGAGAAATTCCAGCTTATATGTCCAATTGTCTTCTGGAGTATTTAATAATTCTTCTAAATATATTTCTTTTTACATATAACTGATTTGAACAGAGCGAACTCAGTATGTTCCATTTGACCTCCAGAAATACTGAAATATGCTTTAATGCAGAAACATTTTCTGAGTAAGTCTGAGAAGTGACGCAGAGACAGAACGGTGCGTGCCCGTCTCCTCCTGCCGTTCCCCCGGGGGAGCAGCGCCGGTGCTGCCGGATCTCTCCCCGAGGAGCTGCCAAAGGGGAGCCGTGAGCAGAGCCCGGAGCGGGGCTGGGCTGATGGGGAAACAACACCCCAGGAGCTCGGTGCTGCACGGTTTGGGCAAGACAAACCCCGGCAGTCTGGAAGCCAGGTTCCTAAGAAGCCTTTGGCAAGAAGGGAGGCCAGTCCATCCACCACAAGTTCCACAAAAGGTGGCTGTGAGGAACTTGTCCGTGCCCTCCCACTGGCCAGACGTTTCTTGGCCACTGTGGGTTGTTACAGCACAGCCTGGAACCAAGACTGCTGGCAGAACTTGTCCTTCCTAAGACTGGGCTACCATGAACAGGCTAAATGTGACTGAGGGTAACAGCCAAAATCCCTGACAGCCTCAGGTGTGGCAGCAGTGGATTTCCACGTGCCTCCAGCTGGGGATTGGGAGCCTTGGCCGAGCACAGAGCGCTGAAGGTGCTGCAGACGGTGCCCTGATGAGAGCTCTGGTTAGGGCAGCTCATCACCTCTGCCCTAACACTCCACAGCCCTTGCTAACTCCTCTCTTTGTATGGCCCTGTAGGTAAAGGAGTTGATCCTACTGAAACATCCCTGAGGCTGCCAGCAAGGAGCTGTGGAGCTGCTTGAACAGCAGTCCAGATGCACAGCCGGGGATCAGTGTGCTCTGACAGGGCTGAGGCTGCTCCAGCTCCACGGGACAGTGACACAGAGCACTGCAGGGCCAGGAGGCTCTGAGCTGACACCAGGCTGATGGGGAGCAGCACCAGGCCCCTCACCATCACATTTACACTCCTTCTGTGTGGATGGGGACTGGTTGACAATTCCCTGCATTCCAGTTTGGAAGAAAGAGTTTTGTGTCTGACCTTTTCTTTTCAGTGCTGTGGGTCTGCCTGCCCTGCTGACACGCCTTCGATCCAGACCATTCCCTTCCATTTCAGTTCCAGATGAGGAAAACTAAAGTAGCAACACTGCTCTTTTTCCTGTTATGCTTTTGGCTTAGTGTTATCAAGCTGGATTTAGTTTCTGCATTCATTTCACTGCTTTCATAAAACTGACTTGGCAAGTTTGGATGACTGATAAGGAATGAACTTTTCTCACCCACAGCTGCTCTGATGAGATTTTTTAAAATCCCTTTGGACTGAACAAATGCAGAAGACATAACTGACACTTTAAAAATGAGATAATAAATCTCAATAAGGTTTTTCATACATATGTACTCATGAAGTCAGAGTTTTATCAGAACATAATCTGAATGCTCTGAAAATTTCCAGAGGCCTCACAAATATGAAAATACTTTTCTCAAAGTCATAGGAGGATTAAAGTCAGAGACAAAAAGACATTACCAAGGGGAGGAAAAAAAAAAAGCAACAAGTTATTGCGGTGTAAGCACCTTAAATAGCTGGCATCTGTTCTGAAGCCCTGTGAAACAAACTGTAGCTCTCTGCAATTAAATCTGATGTGTTACAGTATCCTGTGAGATTAGACATGTCTAGGGGATGCTGACAAGCCCTTGGGTGTAGCAATGCAGTGCTGCCCCCTCAAAGAACAAAGGAAATCTCCTGGGAAATAATTAAAGAAAATTTTGGGTAGCTTGGGATGCAAATACAGACATTTCAGGCTATGCAGAAATAAGCTGGAAGCCCACAGAACATCACCAAAACAGACTAAAGGAGACTGACTGATGTTTGTCCAAATGGGCCTGAAAGGAAGAGCCTGTGAAAGAGAAAGGACAGGAAGCTTCCTGAGTAGCTGTGGTTCCTGAAAACCTCTCCTCTCTGTCCTAATTTTTTATCCTTGTAGTTTGATGATGGAGACAAAACTAACCAATCTTTTCATTAATCCTGAATCCTTCTCTTTCACCTGGAAAACTGACACCAATTATGACTTTAGCTTCATCTTTGACTTAGAATCTTGTTACAGAACAGTACTGGCATATACAAATTTGTTATTTTCACTGGTCTGTGTCTATACTCTGTGTCAAGCAAAGCTTTTCTAATGTTACCTTTTAATGGTCTCCTCATTCCCTCGAGCACGCTTGGTTAGCTCAATATTTCCAACAGTTCTTCATCTCTTGCTACTTTTTGATTCAAGAAGAAAATTTACTGAAAAGAATAACAAGGAAAAACAAGTATTTTAAAATTGATCTTAATTGCTGATGTCTTTCTAAGAAAGCCATCTTCGGGTTATTTTGGCAACAGGATAAATTTAGAAGGTAGCTGACCTTAAATGAGGCATTTCTGGATAAAAAGCCAGTCAAACTTAAATCAAGGCTTGAAAAATTAGGACACAAACTACAGGGAGGAGCCAAGTCATAAAGTCTCTTTCTCTTACAGCCATAATTTACTAAGGGAGTGTTTGAACATTTCCACAACTCCAAGAGTTTGGACAGAAGGAATGGGGAAGGAAATGCATTTCACCATTTAGCCTATACATGGTGGTCTCCTCCTATTCAAAGATGTAAGCCTGAAAAGTGAGGAGGTGTGAAGTACATACAGTCCAAGGCATAAACAAGAGACAGACATTTAAATCACTTCTATCCTTTTTTGCATGTACTGATGTTTAAAACAGTATTGTTTCCAACACTGTGTTTGTTCTAAGGTACCTGAGTCCCTCATTACTGCTGAAGCCATTTGAAGGGATTATTCCATTTTTAAATAATTTCTGCAGCACAGTGAGGAAATCCCACAATGGCTGCATGAGCATTCTTGCCAGTGCTTGTGGTTTGAGGTGCAGTGAGTTTCCTGGACCACTGTGAGAGAAACCATGTGCTGAAGGTGTGAGCCAGCAGTGAATCAGTAAATAGCTGCCCCTCCAGAGATCAGCTCATTAAGCAGCAGAATGAAGGAAGGTTCCTGGGGAGTCTGTGGCACCACACATGCCAAAAAGAGAGGCACAAAACCTTGTTATCTGCTATGCCCAAGCAAAAGGAATTTCTACCTAGGCAGGTTCTGGGGTTAATATTCTGCTCTGGTGCTTTGCCCATGGAAGGCCCAGTGTGTTTTTGTTTATGGTGTGGTTCCTGTTCAGCACATTTCTGTGTGAGCAGCTGCCAGTGGTTCCCTCACCCCAGGCCCAGCTGAAATGCCACAGGCTGCAGCTTTCTTTTGGACATGAGGAAAACCAAAAGAAAAATATCACAATTTTTTCCCATCTTTTTTCTTTTCTGTGTCAAAAGCCTCAACAATAGCTCCCTTATTCAACAGAATGGTGTTGTATGGATATATAACAGCTGGTCAAAAGTCTCCAAGATTATTTAGCTTTTAATTAGTTTTTTTTTGTACTGTTAGTTTTGTTAGTCATAAATAGCTAAATGACACAGTATTTGTGTAACTTAGCAATACCCAGCAATATTCACAGCTTAATTAAATAATTCACGTGCCAATCTCTAGTCAGGATGCAAAAAAGACTAAAACACAAATTAAATTTCTTGGCCAATTTCTTGAAAAAGAGAAGCAGGCTCTGTTGAGACATATGGCAAACAATGTTTTCTGCAAAACAGCAAACTAAAACACATCACTTCTCCCACGTGGCAGGAGGCATGATGCATTTTCACAGCACACTCACCATGGGCAGCAGGCATGTAACTGAGCAGCTGCACCAGTGGAACAGGGAACTCGACTGCCAGGAGCTGAAACAAAAGGGAGGAAGGCAGGACAGGATGAAACGCCACAAATTCAAATCACCATTTCCCAACCAATGTTGTTTTATTGTTTGGAAATTTGTGAAATGTGACAAATAAAAAGTGATTGAGAATGTCCACTGCACTGAGATCTGTCTCTGCCAACACGTGCATAAGTAGGAATCAGTGCTGGAATTAGCTTCAGTTAAATTAGGCACCCTGCCAGGGGAAGTGAGGAATGAATATAGAGATTTAGCTGCTATAAATCTGCCAGGATTTGGGGTTTTTTTCCTTACATCATGGCTTCATTATCTAATCACCCTGTTGGGATACATGCATACAGTATGCAAAAAAATATGTACAGCACAAAAATCCAGAAAGTCACTATATATTGCTTTCCATTGTGTTTAGCAGACATTATCCCACAAGTGAACAACTTCAAATAATAACAGTTTTCTCTTGAGCAGGTTCTCTGCTACAGAGATGTTATTTATCCTGGTGTCACACAAGCAGCATTGTGCAGGGCAACCTGCTGGTGATAAGTGTGCCACCACTGTGTGCTATTTGTTCATATTTTTCTATATTTGAAAAAGTGAAACCCAAACCAAACTGCCAAGATATGATATTCCTTGAGAGGAAGAACATGGTTTATGTGTCTCAGCTTTGCCAAAAACTTCTGAAAACCAATGCTTCAGTTTGTGAATAAAGATGTAGGCACTGCCTCAAGCAGGGTGAGGACCACCCTTGGGCAGGAGGGTTTTGGAGCTGCAGTGGTGAAAGCATGGGGGTGTGCTTTGTTTTGCAGAACATTTGGGTGTGTATAACAGGCCTGTCTAAACAGAATTGGTGTGTCTGATGGCTGATTCAATGTTCCAAGGAGGTCCTCTATTCAGAACTTGTTTTCCTTCCCACTTACCCTACTTGGTGTATTGTGCTGGATTATACTGGTTTCCTAAGTGGCAGTCACAGTTCCTGTCCATCTGGATGTGTTCTGAGGCTCTATGAAGTTTTAACAAGTGTGAAGGGGGGAAACACTGAAGTATGCAGCCAGTCTGAAGTGGTTATCTTGGGCTTTAACCTACTGTCACCAGCAAGGCACAAAACACCCTTCACAGGCCATGGAAAACTTATTTCATTTATACCTTAATAACACAACAAAAAGCATTCTCTTATAAGATATTATCTCTTTGTATCTAAAATCTCTTCATGAATGAAAATTGTTATAATATTAAACTCATACTAATGTGTCTCTGCACGTTGAATCTTGATTCAGGACACGTATAACTGAATAAGATACTTGGTTAACTCTTGCACTTGTCTTACTGCTTGCTTTTAAACTAGAAGATTTTATACTTTTCAACATTTTTTAGTAAAAACATTTATTCTCATGCTATTCATTATGGGATGCCAATCAGTTTTCAAAACACTTGTGCATGCGAGTCCTGTTTTTCCATGTTTATTTTCCACGTTATCCCATACTAAATGACCCTGTCAATCTCTACCTGCTATCTCTGTGATGGCAGATGTGATAAACACCTGCCTAGGCACGAGCATGGTGCTGCACACAACTGCTCAGGTGCTGGGGGAGGGAGGGGGGAAAGTTACTGTGAGAGCATCATAAAGCAGAGATGCTGCTGCAACAGCAAAGGATTTTCCTGAAGGTTCTTAGTGCCCATCTGCAATGAATTTTTATGAGGGTTTGGATGAAATAGAGGCCTGGGCTAACCAGCAGGTTAGTGGTTTGGAAAGCTGCACAGCACAGTTACTGGCAAATCCTTGCTTTATTCATCCTGAAGGGTCCTTCCACACTATTTCTGTTTCTAATGCAATAATATAAATCACTGTCAGGTCATCAGCATTCCCACAGTTTTCCAAAGGATTTTTCTGTCTGCCAAAGGTTCCCACTGGGCCTCTAGGCCGGTAGGATAAGCTCCTTTAGTGGAGCATGTAGTGCTGAGCTGTGCTCTGCTCCAACATTCCTGCTCAGAGGAAGAGGTACAAGGAATGAGGTGATCCCAAGAGTTACAGCTTAAGGAGCATATTAAAGACCACCTCTAGTGATAAAATGTCTTAAAACACTACAGCAAAGCAAAGCAGAATTTGACTTAAACAAAAGCTTCTTTCCTTTCACTGTGCACTTAAGAGAATTCTATATGAGAATCCCAAGGTCAAGCAACTCACTGCCAGGACATTGGAATCCATGCCACACACCTGAGGCTCCAGCTGAAACCAGCTCAAAGCGCAAGGTGTGCTGGCCACGTGTTCCCCTGTGCCTTGTTGCTCAGCTTTTCTTCCAGGTAACTTTCCCTTCTCCTTTTCCTAAACTGTGGTGGAGCACTTCCAAAAGATGTTTAAAAAGGAAATATCCTTCAGTTCACTGATAATTTTGTGAGAATCTTATTTCCCTGGGAGCTGAGTTCTGCCTTTACAGCCAATAGCACGACAGAAGTCCTGACAGTCAGAGGTGGAGTCAGATCCCAGTGCTGCCCCTGCCACCCCACAGCCCTGCCTCAGTGCTCTGGGCTGCCCTGCTTTGCTCAATGTCAGGAGATCAAAGCTCCAGCCCTGCTCAAGGGTTTGAAGCAGAGCAGGCCCTTTTCAGACCATCTCTTCTGAGAGCAGAGGAAACCAAATGCCAGCTAATGGGTGGAGGAGGGCCTGGCCTGGGGATGAAGTGAAGGGT